AAAGCAGAAATTGTGCATTAAACAGAGCTAGTGTTGGTTTCATTTTGCGCATTTGGACACAGCAGTTCACGCGCGTTCTCTGTGAAGTTGTATTAAGGGAGATTTGGGTCGTGACTGAGAAAGAATGAGGGAATATGTCTTTGCAAAGTTGTTGAGGTGGCTTCAAAATGATCTGCCATAACACCATTTTACCCATACATTTCAAGAAACATAAAATTGATATTCCTATGTGGTAACGTGTGCATAATACACACACACACACACACACACATATATTGTACACTTTCAAATGCAATCAGAAATTCATCCATTTTAAATCAAGGGAGAGATTTAACTTGTCAATTTGTGAAATCAGTATTAGATATTTTTGCTTTAAGTTTCTAGTAATATAATTAAGAAGAAGAAATCCTTTATTCGTCCCACAGTGCATGAGAAATGTCAGTGTTGCATCACCAGTTGCAGCGTACAAGATAAATGAACACTATAACCCTAAAATTAAACACAAATTTAATAAAATCTCTAACTTTAGCATGATCACTTGCTCTAAATCTAGTAATTTAACTGAAAACAGTGTTGAGTTGTATGCACTGAATTGGCAGATGTTGTAGAAATATATAGAGTAACTCAGACCAGCCATAAACGTGCTTGAACAGGACCAGACTAAGTCATTGTCTAAGGACCAATGACAAGTGAGAACAGAGCCTCCGAAGCCCAATAGCCCCGGAAAAGCCTGTAGTGACAAACCTGAGGGGAGAACACATCTTACTTTTAACAGCTCTAGATCTAAAATGTTTTGTGAATTTTGTCCCAAGTTTCACCATTGTCACATGCAATTAGTTCAAGGATAATTTATTGCATTCATAAGAAAATACAGATGCAACTTCAACCAAATTATACGAGAGCTGTAATAATCTTTTGTGGGATTTTGTGACACTCACTGCTTTGTCTGGCTTTGGCTACATTTTACGCACGATAAGCGACAAAGCCCATCTGTGTCTGCATTTGCATTAGTCAAACGTTGTGTTCTCAACTGTGTTCATACATAATACATTGCTCTGCATGCTGAACGAGCCGTGCGTAAAAGAAAACATGGAAATAGCCGAACAGAGTAACGCGAGAAAGCCGCAAAGGCACAGGTTGTTCTCAGCAAGAGGATTGTAATTTCGCTTTTGTTTTTTTGTTTTTGTTTTTTTCAAATAGGGCAGGCGTCTATCTACTACTATTACTATATGTTAACTTTATTTATGGATGGATGCCTTTCTACTGCAGTGGGCAACTTAATTTCTCTTAGGGGGATCTATATCGATATCTATCTATCTATCTATCTATCTTTCTGTTAGCTTTAACGTATACCATTTTTAAAACTAAAACTAAAATTTCCATTAACATAAGCACACACATACGCACCTTCAAAATTTGACTATTATAACCACACATTTGTACTATTCTTGCACATATTTAACCAGTTTCCAAACATGAGGGCGTCATTTAGCACTTTTGTATTTTTGGTGCATCTTTCCCCGCTCTTTTAACACTCAGGACACGTACGCTCTTCCCCTCTGCGTCAAAATGGAGACACCGGGGCGCAGACAAAGACTATACAGACACGCTTAAAGCCGCATTAGCACGTGATCCGGCCCCAGAATCGTTAAAGCTGCTTGTCTGACCGAGAGAGAACCAGTGGCTTTGACTTGAGAGGCAGGATTCCACACAGATGTCCAGGTACCAGCTAAAAGGCTCTGTACTTGAGCCAGTAAAAAAAAACCGGCTCAGCAGAAATGAGTAGCACATGCAACAGGGGAAGGAGCCACATGTGCTGCCTTATTAGGGGCCCCCTCCTCTCGCTGGGACGCTTTATACACGCGCGTATGCACAGAGGAGCGAAAGGCGAATGCGTGCGTAAAGGCTGGAGACATATAAGAAGCAAAGGTTGGAGAGAGGTGGCTTGATTTACCTGCACGCTCTGTGGGTTCACTTCAGACGAATCCACGGCTTTGACATTGGTCCCAACAGCGCCGCCTTGTGGTAGAACAACTAAAAGACAGTCACCTCGCCTTGGTTTTGTTGCCAAACCGTGTGTGAAATGAACGAAGGAGACAGAGAGAGACAACGTCGGCTGTATGCGTCCTCTCGCACTGTCGCTGCTGCTGCTTGGAAACACTAGTTAATAACCTTGGGTCTGAGACGGTTTATTGCACCGCACTCCAATTGTACAAATGCTCCAGACTCTCCAGACAGCTTTTATGGCCCGGTTGCCTTGGTGACGGGGAGGATGTCCCGCAATTAGGGACGGAATTCCAGCGCGCAGTAAAAGGATGCGCAGCGCAAGGCCAAAGAGAAGCAACCATAAACTTCAGCCACTCTGCCGCGTTTATGGCCCTTTTGACTGTCATAGATGAACGCCAATGCGCTGTGGCTAGCCCCCATAAACGCAGGCAGAGCAGCAGCAAACATGGCGACCCCCAGAGCTGCTGTTGTGTGACTGGCTTCAGAATGTATAGTGGCATGTGGGAGATTTCAGGAACTGGAGATTTGCCTCGCGTTTAAATGAGCGTTGTTTACCAGTATCCATCTGGGACAATAAAAATATCTGGAATGAACTGACAGCAGCATTCAAAACCACAATATCTTCTCAAGCAAATCACATAATGGGTGGTAGTCTTTCCAAAAATCACTGCGACATGTTGGGGCTTGTGTGGCGGTGGAACAGCAGTAAAAGCACAAAGTATACGACAAAGGCCTAGTTTGAAACAACTTTTCAAACAAACAAAATAGAAGTAAACGAATAGTATCTATGTTATTAATGTTGGTGAATAGATTTGTTCACTAATTTGTTTTGATGTGCTGACAAATCCATTGTAACGTATGTCATAATTAAGTTTCTTTCTGTCTGGGAGAAAAAAACAATAAAAATGTCAATGTTACGTCTCAATGATCCGCCTGTGGTTATGACAATCTGTGACTTTCGAATGAGGAACGTTTTTGAGCTTTTACACAACAGCTTCGCACCTCTGTGACACAGAATCTAAATCCAGAAAGTATTATTCTAACACAGAAAGTAGACTACCATCAGAAAACATTTGCGTAAAATAGCGCACAACACTTTTTGCAAATTGTAAGTCAAATGAAGCCAGTCCATAACCACTCATACATGTTTATTGTGTGATTTTATTTGTAAATATATGGTACAAGATCATAATCCGGACAAAACAGAGCCGCTGGGTTGAAACGCGTGGCCCTGAGCGGCTTGGGGAGACGACAATGTCCTTTTTTATGGATAGATTTTACGCACGGGATTAAGCCCCGTATCCTGTGTGGCCATGTGCGTGTGTGGTTGTGTGTTGGGCCTGTTTTATCATGGCTGGGGCGCTTGTCCATGATTCTCCAACTTTGGAATTGGTTTGTTTTGACAGGATGACAGTAAAGGAGTGGTTACTAAATAAATAAGCCATAGACACAACTAGTTTATACGCGGTGCATTCTAGTCTGCACTGCAAAACAACAGTATGATGAGGTAATAGTGAAATGTATTTAGTGATTTGAATAGATTTACATCATAGTCGGCCAAATGATATGCCAAATAGAACAAGATACGTATTCAATCAACACACATTGTTTTTTGATTTAAGTGCAAACAGCTAAAGTTTTGGTTTACTCGTTAGCGCCCAATTCTAATTTGAATTCTTGAACTCATCTCTCTGTTTTTTGCGCAGTGTAAATGGACATTTGGTCACACCACTTTGTCCCATGTAGCCATCATACGTTGTGTCATGTCGTGATTACAAAAAAAGAAACACCTTTGCCATGAAGTCCGTATACAAAGGCAAATGTCCACGTTACGTATACAGCTCAAAGCCGCTCCATGTCTGCGCCTCGTTTGGGACGTCCCAGCGTGGACAGTGTGCGTAAGTCCACGGTGCTTCAGTCATTTCCCGTTACGCGTATTTGTCCTTCGTTCCAAACTGTCCGAGAACTTGGAACGAGCCGCTTGCCTAACACCGCTGCTGCTCAAGGGGTGAAAGCAAAAAGGTGGAACACGAAGAGTTCACTACAAAAACATGTATTTCTGGGTCATTTAAATCGACTTGAATTCAGGATGTTCTCATTAATTTAGACGTGATTTACCAATTCAGATATTTTGAAGGTAAGTGAATCTATAATAGCACGTTTTAAGGTGGGGATTGCAGATAAAGTCCTGTAAATATGTTACATTTAAGCAACAATTCTCATAAAACTGAAATTATATATAAAAAAGGGCATTCCAATTTTAAAGACCTTCTCGATGCAATAAATATATTCAATTTGTTGTTTTAAAATGATACCCACTACAGCAACATTCACTTCTGGAATGTTTGCGGATTTTAAAACAAATTGATTGGATTTTGACAATTAATTGAATTACTTTTCTCTCCGAGCGTTTCCAGTTCTGCGTTAGGTTTCTCTGTATTATATAGTATTGCAGGTCTATGGGTCTTTTATTCAAACGTAGCAGATGCAAATAGTAAATGATAGAAAATAGATTGACAGATTGAAAAACTCTTATCAAAATGCTGTATGAAAAAGGTCTGGTTACAGAATCACCCTTTTACGCAAATGTGAAACCGGTATTACGCTATTGTGTCTTGAGGAATTTGTGCGCCTCTAAAAAAGGAAAAAGAAGAAGTAATGATTTGGACCTGTTTTAAAACACATGTGATTGTTTGTGCAACTTCATCTGGAATAATTAAAACAATGCATCTCAATCTCTGTCAGAAAACTTAGATATTTGCTTATTTGCGCAGCGTTAATTGATGACTTTATGTTAGAATACTTTTATGCAAAACAACAGAATAGCTCTTTGTTTGCAATAGATGTAGGGGTGGCCAGGATATGTGGGAAACAACTGGAAATGTTTAAGACCGACATATCAACGAGTTGTATTCAGAAAAAACATCTTATTATTCGCTGAATTCAAGTCCTGTTTAAATTCACAGAAATGCCTTTTTGCAGTGGGCTGTGTATTAGAGCAACGGGTTGGAGGTGTAGTACTGTAGCCTGTCCCTGTTCAGCTTCTTCTCCTTCATGCGCCGGTTCTGGAACCAGATCTTGACCTGTCTGTCGGTCAGACTGAGCATGCGCGACAGCTGCAGCCGCTTCTCCTTGTTTATGTACACGCTGAAGAAGAACTCTCGTTCAAGTTCTCGGATCTGGTATTTGGAATAAGGACACCTCTTCTTTCGCGTCCTCTGCCCGCCTGCGTGAGAAAGAGACATGAGTTATTTCGTACAGTCACAAAGATATGGAAGAGTGTGTAATATGTGAGAGCGTGTGTGAGCTGGGCCTTTACAAACAAGATCAAATCTGTGACCCATGGCATTTTCCACCTTTTGTTTGCACTAAAACAAGACGACTAATCTACAGAACTAATTTCTAAGTTCATTAACTTTGTGTCTCAACAAGAGGAAACGTGTCTGCGTCTGCTTCATCCAACCCCTTTTCAAAACTTGTATGTACTAAAGTATTTAATGTTTGTAGATGTTGTGAAATAAACAACATGATTACTTTGATTGATAGTTTGATAAAGCGTGTTGTTCTTATTGAAGTCCATTCACTTTGTGTAGTTTTTGTTCATAAATAATGGGTTGTGTTTATGTGTAAAGTCAAATCAAACCAAGATCATCAATTTTTGTGTGAAGTGGGTTATTATTCCGTCAGATAGTCACCATCACCATTTTAACTGATTAGATATTGTGTCTTAATGTAATGTTGCTTTAACAATTATATGAGAGATGTGGGTGACATTGATACTTTTTCAGTCCAGTCCATTCAAAGCCCTTGATTCTGCACATTTTAAGAACTCATGTGTAGCTTTTTTTTGTAGTCGTTTTCGCACAGCGGAGAGCAAACCCATACTAGCTCTTGTCAATGAGCCGTGACCGCGCGCTGCATATAAAAAGATTGACGCGCTGTGGAAGTGCCATACGCGCGCATTACGCACGGGCGGATTTCCGAACGCATCAATAACACACACACACACACAAACACGCACAGGAACACACACACACACACACACACACATATCACATTACAATGGCCAGGTTATAAGCAGCGTATCCGTGTAGTTCCGCTACGTGATCACTCACTTTGAATTCGATACCAAAATATGCGTAAAAAAATATTTGGAGGTAGTTGTAGGATTTCCATTGTACGTGACATGCACGAAATTGGCGATAGTATTTAGTGTCTAATATGTCTAAAATGTCTAATGTTTCTAATGGTAAACAATACAATTCACATGAGCAGAACAAATAGTGTGGGAACTTCCATACTGAAAAATAATAATAATAATAATAATAATAATAATATAATATATATATATATATATTATATATATATATATATATATATATACAAACAAATTATATATATATATATATATATATAATTTGTTTGTGTCCACAATGACATTACACTCGATTCTAATTCATTAGAGCTATTGTTCATTTATCTTCTCATCCATATCCTCTTTCCTGCTGTTCTGCCATGCAACACTGACATTTCCCTACTGTGCAGGGATGAACAAAAGTTATCTTATTTTAATTTGTTGTTGCATTAATTTGATAAAAACATGTATATTTGACGTCATCCATCAACACAGACAGTCAGAAAAGTATAAAATCCCATTGTATTGTAGTATTGAGATAGCGTTACAATACTAAACTTGGCTTATGACCCAGAGTGCATGTAAACAAAGCCCATAGAAGGCCATCTGATATCAGCGCTGTTAAAGATTACATTAAGATAAGATTTGTAACTAGGAGACCTATTGTCTAACACTATTTCAACAGTGCAGTGATATTGAGTACGTCTTGACAGTTAAATTACACACGCAAATAAAACGTTTACATTTACCCACACAGCGTTTTCTGACCAAACTCGCCTCTATATAGGTCGACATTAATAATAGCACTTGCCTGTCTTTTGGAATTAACGTGGGATTGTTCCTTTACACAGCATTTGATTATAAGCAAATAAGCAGTTTTGGTAATGGACATAATGGCTGTTCTTTGGCAGAGAATTACGCATGGAAATAAAAGCATTGTATTTATCCACACACACAGGGCTTTCTCATTCTACAATCAAGACAAAGGCAAATCTCCATGAACAAATAGCTGCCTTGCTCACAATCGTTCATGATAGTGTAAGACTGCGTTTGAATATAGTTAAGCAAACAATATTAACAGACTTTTACGCACAGAGACTATGCCCAGTAAAACCTTTAGAACCTTGGTTTGGCACAATAGACCTCATTACATGTAACTATACTTCCCCCGTGTGACAAGTACGTTATAAAGAACTGAATGGACACACGTATAAATATATAAGACCGAACTGACAGAAGGAGAGAGGAGTCAAATGATCCATTTCACGGCCAATTTCAACTGCAAACACGTGATGCGCTCGCTTAATAACAAACTTTTGTTGGGGGGCGCACTGCAAAAGTTAAAACGACACACACTGTTTTGTTGATTTGACTTGTGGAATGATCTGGAACTGTAGCAAGACCTGAGACCAATTATTAACCAATATACCATTGGAAAACATGCAATAAGAAGAAATATTTATAAATGAGCGTATGTTGCTAAAATTATGAATCTTCTTGACTGAAGTCCAAAAACAAGGATGACATGGGACTTGTAAGGACATTGGTGAATTAACCAGTGATTATTATGTGTTTAATTTATCTGCTTCTTTATGTTCCAAATCCCTAATCTGGTGTTATCAATATGTCATGTCCCCTCGATGCGACTGCTGTTGTTATTTTGAGCTATACACAAGAAAATTGATTTGATCCAAGACAACTCAGACTTCACCTCACCTATACATGGACATTGTTGGGTTTTTTTTTTTTGCAGTGCCATGGGGGGTTACACCGCGCGGGCCCTCTATAAACCTTATACGCTTATAAAACAGCATATAAAAATTTTAACAGCAACGCGCGCGCCACGGCAAAACTTTCTGCTGTGAGGGCGAGGGCGCAGTCTTGCAGGATATATGTATACGTACTGCTGGAGCTCGACTTCTCCTCCGCGTTCGTGCCCGTGGACAGGTCCGGGCTGCTGCTATCCCCTCGCGGGTCCTTGTGCTCTGAGCCCGGGTTATCCTCGCTTTCTGGGGCCGTGGTGGTGCTGCCGCTGCTTTTGCCTTTATCCCCTGAGAAGTCCCCCGCGTTCGAGCCGGTCGTGTTGGAGCTGCTATTGTTGTTGTTGCTCGCGCTGTTGTCGTAGGCAGTCTCGTAAAACTGATCGAAAGCCTGTGGTAGGACTCCATTTCTCCCCACTCCTCCGTAGAAGTTGCCCTGGTTGTGGTACGCAGCCGTGAGAGGCGAGTTTTTCCCAAACACGTCGGTCACCACGGCGGATTGCGACGCAGAGAGGCAGTCCCTGTGCGCCTCCTCCCCGTGTGGATAGCCGTGTGGCAGGTTGGCTCTGCTGTGATGGTGGTGGTGGTGGCCGTGGTGGTGGTGTGCGTGGGGCCATTTCGCAGACGCGTCGATGGCGCTGGAGAAGTCTCTGAACGTCACCTCTCGCACCGGCTGCACTTGTGGGAGATTGGACGAGTACGAGTAGGTCACCGGGCGTGCGGAGCTGCTCTGGGACAGAAAGGAGGGCAGCGCCGCGGAGAAGTCGTAGTACGTGCAACTGGGGAGGTACATATTGGAACCGACTGGAACTCGCTCGTCGAAATCCATCATCATCGTGCGGGTGCGACGCATGCAAGCCCGGGGAATGGGGGGTGGGGGGTAGTTCACATTCCGGCCCCGCTGCTCGTGGCTCTGTCTGTGGGCTGCTTGGCTTTCACGCTGGGGCGAGCGCATGCACAGAGCAGCACAGGTTTGGTATAGACGTAAAGCTGACGTGGAGGGCCATCTCTCCATCCACTACCGCGGAGGCGAGGCGAGGCGCGCGTCACGTGACCAAGCGCTCCAGAAATTGACAGATTTTCATACAGAGAAGGAGTGTGAGAGTGTGTGCGTGCATGCGTGTATGAGTGTGCGTATGAGTGTGTGCGTGTATGTTTTTGTGTGTGTATGTGCGTGTGTCTGTGTGCGTGTTTAAGAATGGTTAGGTGTAATTTGCCACTGGTGCTTTGTTCACTGCAAAAAACAATGTCCAGATGTGTAGAATTCACTTAAATAGCTCATTATCTGTGAGTGTAGCTAGACTTTCTTTTATATGTTCACCAATCTAAGACACGCCGTTGTCTTTTTTTCTTAAATTATGTATTTGTTTTCAGATGTATAAAACCTGTTTGACCATTTCACTTGTGGAGCCAAATTTTCTCAAATCAACACAACCTGTCGTGAAATCTTTTTCAAATTACAACCAATATATGCAAACAGCGCTTAATCCATGCCTTTTTGTCATGTAACATTCATGAAGGGCTTTGCAATGTCAGCCCCTCATATCTGTTTACTCTTGGAGACAATTTAGCTCAAAACAAGACATTATCTGCCATTCTTTCCCAATTTATCCAATAGCACACTGTGGTAGATTTCTGATTTCATGCATATTTTAATACATAGGTTCATGTACATTGTTGGATAAGAATCATTTGTGGAGTCAAGACAATATAACAATAATATGCCAGAGGCTAAGTCCTAATATCCATAATAACGAACAGTATTGTTAGTTTTCACGTCTTTCATAGTGGGAAAATTGCACAAACCATAACAATGTTGCTTATTTCCAAGTCAGTCTAATGTTTTTCGTTTTGCAGTGTATATTCGCCATGGAAATCAACTGCAAATAGACACTTGGCTGTCGCAGAAATCAGTGTTGGAGCCAAAATGTAAATAAGGTGTTGCCAAATCCTATTTGCACTGCATGCGAGTACATATACGGGCTTTTCATGCTGGATTTAACTCGAAAAATAAGCAGAACTGAACGATTTCAGTAATCTTCAAAACAACTGCTTCTATGTTTATTGAGATAGATTTAATGGGAAAACTTTAACAGCAACTTGATTGTATTTTCAATTAAACCGTTGTGCGTAATTCTGGCCCAAATGAGGTTAAGAATACACGTGGAAAAAGATTACAAAATTCAAAATAGTGGAATTTACTTTCTTTAATCACATCATATGCTTTGATTCGATGATTTATTCCTTGTGTTTCCAGAAGAGGCCCCGTGAATCCTTTCTATACATGAATTCATATGTGTATTGTTGAAGCAGGAATGACATATGAGTAAATAAAAAGTGGGTGTTTTCCTTAATGGCTGACTCGCTCCGGTGATAAGGGCAATAACGCACACAGCCATGGCCTCCCAGGACAAAAGCACGGCGGTCACATGGGCTCTGCCAGGGGAGGAAGAGCCCTGTTTATCTGCTCGTCCTGCTTTTAGAAAGGTCTGAGTCATCATCATTTGGTGCTTTACAGCGCGCAGTTTGGCTCCGCGCTGGGCATTTGGTTATCAGGGTCATGTTCAAAGTAGCGGCTTATGTTTCAACTCCAGCCACAATGGCGACTGGGCATCAGGCCCGAGACAAGATACAGGCATGCGGAGATGACCTAACCTGAACTGCAAGGACAAGGCAGGCTGTAAAAGTGGGAGAAATGTGGAAGAATTAAAGAAGTATGGGTTGGTGAGGTGTGTTGGAACCGTAGACTGTGTTGGAACGCATTGAAATGACGCATAAGCAATAATAATATACAATATTTTAATTTCCTTAACGCTGGGATCACTATATCTTTTTCAGAAATATTACATAAAAATATCCCCAATTTTTGAACAGATAGACAAATAGTACAGTGCTATGTAAGGTACATTCAGACCTTACATCCATAGACTGTGCGGGAACGCATTGAAACGACGTATACGCAAAATAATATAAAATTGTATGGTTAATACATATAAATATTTCCCTCAAGCTGGGGTACCTCACATTTTTCATAAATAATACACACATACATAAATGTTGCCAATGTCCAAACAGACAAGGAATTATCAAAATAAAATCAAAACACAACTGGCTGCTCAGCGAGATATCTTGCATGCGTCTGTTCCCTTGTGCGTCACTATTAGACGTTTTGGGTTGACAGCTGGCTGTCTGAGTGAGGCTGGGGCTCTCTGTTTCACTATTTTGTCTGAAAAATAAGATCTGAAGATGGTACAGAGGCTAGATATACATATATGTGTGAAAACTATAGTGTTGGAACCAAATTAATGTATATTACATTGTACATTTTGTTGTGTTTGAAAGTTAGGTACCCTTGCTTTAACACGGTGTTATAATTCCAGTTTATTGTTTGTATATATAACGAAGGGCATTTGGGAACTCTGTTGGTTAGAACTGAGAAAACGAGCTTTTCAATCTCAATGGGACGTTTAACTACATTTTTCAAAGTATATTCTTGCTAATTTATAAGGCAATCCTATCCATCACGGGCACTTATATAGTCAAATATTTTTGTTATGAAATAATAAAATGTATTTTAAAGAGAGTTTGCTTTGCTGGTCTGTTTTTCTTCATATTAACATTTAATAGAGCCAATAACTGGGTTTAAAAGGCGCGCCGAGCCGTTTACACTTTTACACAGGAAATTTCACCAGGTCTGGAAGCGAATATCTGACCAAATAGACTCTGCAGCTAAAGAGGAGGCTTGTCCAGTTTCTGCTGTAACATTTGGAACATCTTTGGTGTCACGATTTAGTGTCCCGAGTCATTTAGCCACATGCGTAATGGCGCGTAATACAGACAGATAATGTTGCATCAACGATATGATATGAACACCCTGGCTTTTTATTTACACATTAAATTATACATGCAAGCGCGCTCGTGTTTCTTTGCAAACATACAGCACGCGAATAGCTAATATATGTTATATGGAGTGTTTGGGGACGCATGGGGTTTGAGTTATTTGATTTGATAAACATGTCACCGCGCGCAAATTCTCTGGCTCGGCTCTTTAGTGGGCCACCGCGGAGCCACGCTGCAACTTGACTCTAATGTGCTGTGAATGAGGGCTGAGCTGAGCCGCGGGATTAAGCTCTGGAAGTGGCCCCACACCCGGCCAAGAAGCTTAGCCGCTCTCCCACGCATGAGCCTTGAGTCCGTATAAGGCACATCACATCACCCTGCCGCTCCAAGTATATAACAGTATCAAACATACCCTGCGCACTGCTTTCTCTGTGTCTCTGCACGTCTCTGAGCTCACTGTCTCTTGTCTCTTTTACGCGCTTGCTCCGCCTCTGCTTCTCTTCAAATTCTGGAGTTTTTTGGGCTGTAATTGAGCACGGAGCTGTTTGGTGGGGGAAAACACCAAAGGCAAGTCCTTGAAGCGCAGACCTATATGCCTCGTTTTATAGCCGCTATAGTGCTCGGCTGCTGGATGGCTGATGGCTGTTCCTGCTATGGGCCCTTAGAGCTTCTACCCCCCCTTTGGAAAACTCCCCACAGGCCCAGACAGACAGCACTAAAGTGTCCGTGCGTGATGCAAGACAATCGCCACCCAAGTCAAAGTCAGCAGCTGCGAGCTGAGGAGACTGCGGTGCATGTGTGGACTTTAAAATTAAGGTAAGAACCATTGAGTTTCACTTTCATTGTAATAACTGTATATGAAGTGGTTGAAAGTAAGTATATCAATGTAAATGTTGGAGATCATTGAGACATGTTTTGATTATATACTTTAACATGTATAGGCCTAAATGTCAGCATAAAGTAACACCCGCATTGAAAGACAATGCGTGCCTTGCTCAGATATAGCTTTACATTATTACCTGAAGTCTACCATGATATAATAATTGTAAGGGTCAATTTGTATCTGAAAAGGCAATCTAAAATGCACACATTGATAAAATAAACTGTCACACAAACAACAAACGAAAAAACAATTTTAATGTCTAAAAACAATAGTTTACAGATCTATTTCAAACTCATTAAATTGGGATTTTAAACTAATGCCATTGCAACGTTTTCTAAAATAAAATGAAGATTCATATTTATTCATTACATACATCTGAAATTGTTTTGTGTTTGTAAATCTCAGGCAAGTTATGTTGCTGCTGCTGCTGCTGCTGCTGCTACTACTACTACTACTACAAATACTACTTTTACGACATCTACTACCTCTACTACTACTACTACTTCTACTACTAATATAATATAATATAATATAATATATACGAACAAAACTTATCGTCCCACTGTTTCCCACACGTATATATACCGTTACATATTCCTTTTACGCTCAATATAAAGTCGTCATAAAGCTACTTAATTAAGCGTTCATATTCATTATAAGTCTCTGCACTGATGGATTGTCAAAGCCACATTCTTACGGTCGACTTCAAGTTCGGGGGAAGGGAAAGCCAAGTGGTGCTCCGGTGCCATATAAGCCCGCATGCACTTCCTCGCTAATGACTTTTGCTCGCCAACACGCCATCTGTGCGCAGGGAATGAATAAATAAACAGACAGACAGGCAGACATGATGCTGTATACGCTCTGAATCCAAATGAACTTCACCTTCAGTTACAGTATGTACAGGGACAGGTACACAGGCCGCGCGCGCACAGGTGGACTTTACGCACGGGTCTGCTTCGTTAGCGTAGGATGGTTGAGATTGGATTGCAAAATAGTTTCATAATGGCATGAATTCAGGTTAAAGCTGAGGTATACTTTCATCTTTATTGGTTACCATTTCACAATATAAACACGAGTTGTCGTTTGCAAACTTGTAAGAAAGAGCTCCTTGAGTCAATATTTGACTTTTCAGGCTGATTGAGGGTGATCTTCTCTTTTTATGTGTGAAAAGTTTTTACAGTTTGAAAAATAGTCAGAGAGCTAACTTTGAGCTTTGTGCTTTAAAAGTTAGG